AAATGCCAATTGCAGGTACGTAGCATTCATTAGCTCCTCTGGCAGCCAGGCAAAATGTGTCATTTGATAAGAATGCCTTTGGGACAGAGCCATTCCCAGGGCTGGTCCTGGGATCCCTGGTGCCCTGCTAAGGACTGTGCTCCTGGGCCTGCCAGATTGCTGCTGGTGATGGCAGGGAAGTCCTGAGTGCACCCCAAATCCTTAGTGTGTCTTATTTACAGTGCCTGCAAGCAAACACCAGACACGTGGGATGTGGAGAGGATGTGGGAGCCAGCAGGGCTGAGGATGAAGAACATGACACGTCTGGCTCTGCTATTTAAAGCCACTGTGACACGTTTAGCCAGTTTAGTTGGAGTCCCGATACCCTTCAGTCTGGCAAAGGTACATGTTTGGCATTTGCTATGGCTGGGAGCATGATGGCCAGCCCCAGCATGAGGATTTCTGAGAAATTTCTTGTTGGTTCTACAGTTTTGTCACTGAGGGCTGTGAAATTAACTGACAAACAGGAGATATGGTTTGGAGAATTCTTTCCCTCTCCTCTCCCCTGCCCTCACTGCTCAAGTGCAGTGTGGCTTGTGAACCCACAGCACAGCAGGGTCTCATCCTCATCCAGCTCACAAAGTGTCCCAGAACTCCACGAGCACCCACAAATACACCATTCACACCCTGACACACGACTGTGCTGCTGCTCAGGGTGTACGTCAGTGTTGCTCCCCTTAGAAACCAGAGCCAAAGTCTTGTAAAGCCTCCAAAGGGGACTGGCAGTGACAAAACACAAAGGAGGAAATGTCCCTGTGCCTGGGCCTTCCTCACCACTGCAGAGCAGATCCAAAGGTCCTGGTTAGTTGGTGGCTGTTACAACTCAGGCCTTGCATTGTCCTCTTCCCTGCAGTCTTCAGGAAGAGGGGCTTCTGTCTGGGGGTCCCACCTCCAGCCACAGGCAAGAGGACAGTGTCCCTGCTCTGTCCAGAGATGGTGGAATGCTTGTCCTTGAAAAACACCAGCTCCCCCTCCCTTCCCCAGACACTGAGTGAGGTCCTTTTCAGCATCTACCATATAAGCTTTGTCACCACACTGGATATGACTTTGCCTTTGGTGTAAATAGTTGGGTTTGCATCTTTTTGGCTCACCAGCATCACCAGTGAGGATCTAAGCTGGGCCAGCTGCTGCACTGCATGGCTCGCCCTTGTGTCACCAATCTCCTGTGGAAATCCAATGTCCTGCACACTTGTTTGGTTTCCATTTGTGTTTGGGTTTTTTTTTTAGTAAGTTCACTTGGAAGTATTTCCTGTTTCTGCCTTTTTGCCTGTTTAAGAGACTATTGCTCCTATTCAAGCCTTTGGAATAATGAAGCATCCCAGTTTTAATATCTAGTAACCTCTAAGGTTTGTGTCTGCAATTGGTTTTCTCACTTTGCCTTTTCTGTTTGCAAAGTCTGTGCTGATGTCAACCAGCAGCCTGAATCCCAGTGCTTGCCTGTGGGGTTTCATTTGTCACTTGCAGAGCTCCAGGATTTAGTGGTTTGTTTCACTTGGTTCTTCTCCAAGAGCATCTTCACTGTGTCTGAGTTATGGTTCTGCTGATGTGGGCATCTCAGGTGGGCTTCAGCTGGGGGATCAGATGAGCAGTTCTCCAGATAGTTTGTTTCCAAAGTCAGCACATTTGCCTTTGACCCCAAACGTGTGTTCAGAAGCTGTCTGAGCTTTCTGGCCTTGATTCTGCTTAATTTCTGAAGCTTTGAGGTGTGTTGTCTTCAATTCCTTGTCTTGCAAGACTATGATAGTAGTGATGAGTGACAGGAGAATCAAGGGAGATTAATATGGCTCTTGCTAGGTACAGACCTGGGAATCTCATGGCCCTCAGGCAGGAACCAAAGGATGATTGATGTTTGTGTGTTACTTGTACAGTGGTAGCTGTATTTGATCCATGGTGTTATCCTAATCCATGGGAAGCCTGTATCTTGGGTAATGCTCAGCTTGTGGGAAGCAATGCCTGGCTCAGAAGCTCCGTGCAGCTTCCATGAGGGTTGGAGATGAGTAACCTCTGTGTAGTGTCCAACATCAGGTGGGAATAACCCCTGTGTCCCCTGGCAGTCTGGCACCATCCAGCCTGCCAGCTTCCTCAGGCTGGGTCTCTCAGGATGTGTAAAACTGGCTTCTGAGGGTCAAGTTGCTGCCTCTTTCCAACAGGAATGGGAGGAACTGTTGGTAACGTTGGGTTTTGTTTGTCTGGGCTCTGTACGCTGCTCATCACCGTGCAGGGGGTGCTTCTCCATCACCCTTCCCTATCACAGGTGCTCAGGTGAAGGTGTGTCCGTGTGCCCCGAGTTTGTAACGGCGACGTTGGGAAGGAAAGCCCAGAAGCCACAGTGCCCAGGGGTCCCTGCAC